CAGACAATAAACAAAGTAGTTATACATAACAGTATATATACAATATATAAATATACAGTATTAAAAACCATATACACAGGCATCCAATTGGTTTAGAAGCTGGTAATAACTTCAACCATCACTCCTATTATGTAGGTTTGAATGATAGTCCAATTAAAATGTCACTGTGTATATTTATGACACGCACGGCGGTAAAGAGGACTGTGACCTCTATGACGAGAGAGATTGGCACCTACTTCCTAGGCCAAGTATAGGCCTAGGAAGTAGGCTAGGCTTATGGTCTAGGCCTATTTTTTTGTGGGTACTCTTTTCATTCCTTTTTTAAGCCTCATAGAATCTATGTATGAGGTATATGAAACAAATATTTACTGCTCTGGATTCGGGAAACAATGAAATCTATAGTCCCTTGGTCACATAGAGACCTAGCCTACTATCTTTGCTCGGCCCTTCAGCCTTCGGGAAGAGAGTAGTAGGCAACGGTCTTCACATCACCTCAATGCATTAAATTTCACCATTCCCATCTCATGAGCAGTCAATATTTGTATACTAACAATTTGCAATAGCTTAGTTGAGGGGGGGGGGGGAGGCTGTGTTGGCTAGGGCAACAATTGAATCTGCTTATTCTGAGTGAATATAATATGATCATTAAGGATACGGAAAAGGTCAAAAGCACCAGCCGTATAAACTATCTTGTCGCCTGGATTCGGATCCTTGCCCTCAGCAAACTGAATTATCTTGTTTGTTGTTGGTAGAAACTGAGAAATACCTGTGTAAGGACTCTTCAAATTTGAGCACTGCAAGATACAAAGCATTTCATAATTCAGTCACTTTACAATTGATTTTTTCGGAGTGATACACACCAAGAATAAACAACAAAAACGACTAATTTCTAGCGGAATCCTTCTGGTGGTGATTGGGCAGTGCACCAGGAGACAATCCCCTACTATTTTCAGAAGAGTGTACTGTGGTTTTTAACGTGTACGTGGGCCATATTGCACACAGGACCAACAGCCTAATCATCTCATATGAAAGATGGTGCGCTTTTAAAACTTGCATTTCAGCCCTGCAGCTGAAGCACAAGAGAGCAGCAATAGAATTTGAACCGGGATCCGAGAGATCACCAAGGTTCAGCGCATATGCAGTGGCTACGACCAAAGAACTTAAATAGCAGAAGAATGAGCTGCTCCGCGTATTTGCATTAAAATCGATGGAACATTCGCCCTCCTGCGGTTGCAGTAAAATTTGAACATTTTACTAAGTGGAGAAAGTATAGGAAACAAGCGAACAAGAGCAGCAGCGCCTTTATTATTTTTATATAGCGCCGCCGCGCGGTTGCAGTAAAGTTGCTCTCCGTGTACCCACAATGCCTTTTGAACGGATGTTCCACTATATTGGGAAGCTGCTCTATCTTCTGCTATTTATCATCTTTGCTACGACCAGTTTAGCTGACTGAGTCAGATGCTCCCTCAATATTATAAGAAGCCTTAAATGTATTGCCCACTCTAGGGTATTCATTTTTTGGCTAGTATCTACATATAAAAACATTTACACTTTACCAATTATAAGTATAGCATAGCATGTTATAAATTTTTATGGAACACACAGATTTACATTAAAAAAGAGAAAGATCAATTATACAAAAATATAAAAATTAATTTAAAAATACAAAAGATCCATTAAACCACCACAACCACTAGATCAAGTTCCTTGTTTTATCCATCCAAAATCAGAGTAATGTACAAAATATTTAAATCACTGGATACTGTTTATAGTGATAAAGTATTAGTTACTACTGATAAAATATGTACTATAGAATATTAGCGCAATTTTGAATTGAGAAGAAAACATGTTTTATTTTTGATAAATTTGTTTATTCCGTCCCGCCAACAAAATAGTTTTAGATTTACATTAAAGAAGAGAAAGATCAATTATACAAAAATATAAAAATTAATTGAAAAATACAAAAGATCCATTAAACCACCACAACCACTAGATCAATTTCCTTGTTTTATCCATCCAAAATCAGAGTAAATGTACAAAATATTTAAATCACTGGATACTGTTTATAGTGATAAAGTATTAGTTACTACTGATAAAATATGTACTTAGAATATTAGCGCAATTTTGAATTGAGAAGAAAACATGTTTTATTTTTGATAAATTTGTTTATTCCGTCCCGCCCACAAAATAGTTTTAGTTGCCATAGTGATTTGTCAGGCTATCATTTCATTTTTTATCCATCCAAAATCAGAGTAATGTACAAAATATTTAAATCACTGGATACTGTTTATAGTGATAAAGTATTAGTTACTACTGTGGTGGGGGTAACTTTTATAATATTAATATTAATACATGTATAGTTCATCACAAACAATATACTACCTTAGCACATTCTCCGTCAATGTATGTACTTCCCTAATCAATAGAAAAAAGGACACTTACCAATAACAAAAATCAATTTATTATTTTGGAAACATTAGGAATTCAAACTCTTTTTTTTTCCAATTTTTCTGAATTCTGTTTTTCTGATCGAAAACTACTGTTGCATAGGGTGTGGCCTAGCTAATAGTAGGGGAGATTTCCCGCCGATAAAAACACGAACGGTACTGATTTCTTGCTTTGAACAAGGCATCCAATCATAGAAGTCATATGAAGATAAGCCTATCAGAGAGTGACTCGAGGGTGAGGACATATCTCCAACTTTAAATTGAACAAAGAATACTAGCTGATTAAAACGTAAACAATTATATTTAATAACTTAATCAATGTACGTGTAAGTAATCTGTAATTGTAATTGTGACCCAAGCTCACAAAAGTGCTGTAAACTCTTCCTAAGGCCAAAATGAGTTTTTGTTATAATGGCATAGAACATATCATTTATTATAAAATGACAGTTAAGTGAACTCAATCGGGTGTCTGGAAGCAAAGTTATGACCGTTTGAATAATCGTCATCTTCTCAACTTTCTTAAATCCAATTTTGAGAAAAATGCTTTTATTTTGCGGCAGGTTTCTATTCATTTTTCAATAGCTCAAATTCGAAAATGGCTAATTTTAAACTCAAACTTCAGGACTAGTAAGAATAATAGTTATACTTTATTTATTACACAAAAACCCAATTCACACAAAATTCACGTTATACAGCCTATTCTGGCTAGGGAGGCTTGTTTCCCTTTTGTGAGCTTGGGTCACAATTATAAATAAAATAACGTAAAATATCAAGGAATAAAGGAAGAAGGAAGAATAGGAAAGAAACTCGAAGCCCGCTGAAATATATCCCGAAAATATACAATAATAATCAGTATGTCATTATTGCATTAGGTTTTGTAAAAATTTGATAGAAATTGATTTTATTGTTTTAAGAGGAAGCATTATATTTACCAGGTTCATATGTAACACACCGACTTCTGGCTTATAAATCGAAAAGAACACATTATCCAAGGTATTTAGTAGGCATAGGCTTAGGGCCACATATAATTATTATTATATTATTAAACCATCCTAGAATTGGAGCTCTTGGTAATCAGTGACCAGCAAATTATCGCTAGTATGATATTTATCCAGCTTTAAAATCAAGTGAAGATATTACGTTTGGCAAGTGAAGTTTTGTTTTATTTCTTTTATGAGAATGACTTTTCTACTAATAAAAGTTTACTTAGACGCTCAGTCATTTTTCTCAAGATATTTTCCAGAAACAAGGATTAATGATATTAATAATAATTTCAATTTATATAGCACATTACGCAAAATCATTTAAAATCCAAAGTTGGCTGGATTTCAACTTGGAGATTGGGCACAAGTAGCAGGAATAAAAATATAAACTTAAGCACACATATTCACTGCAGTAGTGCTCAAGGCACTAAAGAAGGAAGGTCACCATTACCTTTCAGACAAACGTTCAGCACACATGCAGTAGTTTAGTTCAAAAAAATCCTCAATACTTTAATATCTATAATTAAATGCAGACAAGCATGACGAGTTGGATAGCCAAGTAGTTAAGGCAGGGGGCGCTGCAACCTACAGCCATAATATCGGCACTGGTTCAAACAGCACGCTTGCCTATGGTTCTGGTGGTGGAATGAGTCTTCTCGGATAAGGACTGTAAACCGTAGTCCCAGTGTACACAATGGTTCGTGTACACATAAAAGAACCCAGTACATCTTTCAATACGAGTAGGGGGTCCCCCAGTGTACTGGTTCATACAGCCCCTGTTGTGGACAAATGAGAGAAAGCTGGTACCGGTTTACCAGGTATCTCAGACACGGAGAGACCCATAGGGGAAAAGCTGTGAGAGCTTCGAGTGCTTTGACACGTCGGTATAAAGTGCTATGTAAATCCAAACACATCACATTAAAAGAAATCAATTGCCATTAGAATGACATGAGACATAATATTGGAACTGTAGAAAAATCAAGGAATTATTAAAAACATGAAAATTAGAATCGGTAAAAATAAATGGGGGCTGAGGACAAGAAAATGTGAATTGAGAGGGGGCCCAATGATTAGATGAGGGACGCTAGCTCGCAAAATTACGTTGATATGAGGTGATTTTTGACTACTTGAGTGTGATTTTTGGAGGTGACTGAGGTGTGTAAATAATTTTTGGGGGATTGTTCCTCCTACCCCTGTGCACCCTGAATATACACCACTGGACATGATTAGTTTGTAGTAGATGATTTGTACTTACGCTGGCTTCGTTGTTAGTCTTTCCCTCTGGAATTGGTGAATTTCTTGCTCCTACCAGATGGTGAGTCTTGGTCATCAAAAGCATTCTAAGTATGGAAAAAAAAATCAGGTTTAAAAAGCAAGCATGGATTGTTAATCTTACAGTAGTAGTCCTCAGTGGCAGATTCACATTAAATTGTCAAATTTATTTTTAAAAAATAGATAAAAAAATTATATTCAAGTCTAAATGTTAATCATCAATCCATATATAACCAAGTTAAATGCTAAATACTGTAAACCACAGAATTTTTACTCTAAAGGTCATTGTATTACAATGAAGTAGCAGTGATAAATAAACAATAAAAATAAGAGGTCTTGTTCCAATTGAAGCAATTAAAATGTCAAAAAATTAATATTTATAAATAGTGCTATCAAGATCACCGTTAAAGCTACATAAAGAAACAAAGAATAAATGAGAATAATTTATGGAGACGATTCCAAATTGCAGTTTCTGATGCTGGTCATTCATTCCAAATTTGATAGTATTACGAACATGAACATGAGTTTGGGACAAGTTTCCAAGGCCATTAATTGAGAGAGCCCAATGAAAGAATGAATGAACAGTAGGGGTGATTTGGCGCAGCAGTTGCGGTTTTACTTCTCAACCTTGAGGTCGGAGGTTGAATCTGTCGCTGTGTATTTCGTTTGTGTCCTTAGGTAAAGCCACTTTCCACCGAGGAATACAAGTGCGTACATGGTAGGTTCAAACACAAAATGCGCTGAATACAGAGCTGCAACATTATGGAATTCTCCCAAGGGACCTGAGTGTGTGTTCTATATGTGCTTGATTCACTGACCGGGGGTAATAACGTAAAGCGCTTAGAGGCTTTGTTGAGATTAAGCGTTATATATCAGGCATACAAGAATATTGAGACTGGGCATGAGTGGAGGGGAAAGGGTGAATTTGATCTAGGTAGGGTGTGGCTACACATTCAGAATTTAAAGTCTTTTTCCCCACTTTTAATCTCATTGAAATGTATTCCATCATTCTGGAGATTTGGTTGACCTACAGAGGATCTTCTTGATAAAATTAATGAAAGTATTCACACTCACAAAGGATACATAAAGAACAATTAAACAAACCAAATCTACAAACAGGATGAACTTAAAAAGGTCAAAAAGATGGCTTATTTCCATTTGGTTCCAACTTGAAGATACAGTACAACAACGGTAGGTGAGTGGAAAACTGAGCAATAAGCTGAAGAGGGGTTAGAGATCAAGAACCAAAAGAACTCCTCTGAATAAGCTGTCATCATACAAGTTTTTTTATTCAGATTATCTAAATTTATTTTTCCTTCTTACCTTCCTACTAAATCTGTTGTTGATACACCAGCTGTTCTACGGCATTCTCTAAAAAGAAAACAAACAAAACTGGTTGGTCAAAATCAAAACTATAACAAAATATCATCACTTTTTGGTTTGTAGAGGTCAGTCACCACTTTGTAAGTACAACCATGTCATGCAACATTAGCACTGCAGTATACTAATAATAATTCTACACTGTGTGACGAGGGTAAAAATATATATTTCAGGCAATATCCATTGTTTGCGCAGGGTTGAGCTGTTTTAACACTAAACAAGTTTTCATAATCTCGTAAGATCTGATGAGGGTAGTACAATAGAGACAGATAGAGCTAAAACAGATCTAATAATCAATAAAATATTAATCAATCAGCTGATTGTTTCTAGAACTCCTCATGATGACAGTGTAACCATGGAATTTATACCTCCATGGTATAACGGAGGCAGTAGAGCTAAAAAAAGACCTATTTATCAATCAATCAATCAATCAGCCTCATGAGGGCAGTATAATAGAGGCAGTAGAGCTAAAAAAGATCTATTAATCAATCAGTCAATTGTTTCTAGAGCTTTCATCGGAACCAAAAATGGTAGCCATTTGGGCTATCACCCACTGTTACGGTATCAAATTGATTGAAAGAGAACTTGTAAAACATAATACATATATTGCTGACCCCTCCTTGCCGGGAAAAAAATATTTTTGGGTTTTTTTTTCATCCTTATACGCTTATGAGCCCATGGGTACAGCTACACAATATACACAGATTTAGTGAGACTTATTAACAAAACCAGTGTGTTGAGTAGGCCTACATTATGAGCCTAGGTGTAGGGCTACTGTGCACATTCTACACACTGTTGAGTAGGCCTATATATGAGCCTAGGTGTAGGCCTACATATGCTTACTTGTATCTTCCTTGCTCTTTGACTATCCTGTATGTGTCCCTTCCATCCGAGTCTAATGTGATGTCATCTTTAAAGAAAAAGAAATCAAGGAAATCAAATGACACATCGCAATTGTAACATCACTACTGTTTAAACGAAATTTCTCCCCATTTTTTGTAACAGACCTGCAAGACAGTCAGGCTAATTAATGAAATCAGCTCTAAGCAGACTTTTGATTGGCCCATGTGGGGAATTGGAGGGTTATGTTAAATCCAGACTCAGGAGGAAAAAAAATTGTTGATATGTTGTAGAACTCATTTTTCTAAGACAGAAAAAAGTTGTTTGACAAAAAACTGGGGAACGGTAAATGAGATACAGATTTTTTAATATTTAAAAACTGGGGAAAAGGTGTAAAAATAGGTGCTTATGCCCCATTTTCCCCCCAGTTTTTACATATTCAAACACATAACACATAAAACATGGCCTTGCTTGGTGTCATTGGTGCAGTTTAATGTTCAGTTATATGAATTAGCATATATATCATGTTTTTTAATTACATACAAACACAATACTATACAGGTATGGCAAACAGAATTTGGCCAAGCATGTTTAAATCAAATAAATCTTTATTGCAATCATAAAACAATACAGTAGTAGTGATTGGAATATACAAAATATAAAACAGTACTAGAAAAAGAGGCAATATTAATAAATATCAATAGAGAAAATAAAAGCATTGAAATAATTTAATTAATATATAATTATTATTATTATTAAATCTAATTATTAATTTAATTTATGAATTATTCTTAAAAATTACTCTCAAATTATATTTTTAGTAACATCAAATATTGCACAAAGGAATGCAGATAAAAATTGATTGAGAAAGACAAAAAGGGTTACACTAAACATCAAAAATTACTTTGTAAACATAAATAAGCTTAATTAAAAATACTATTAAAAAACATAAATATGACTTCAGAATTTGCTAAATTAAAAATACCATTAAAAACTTCAATAACGACATCAAAATTTGCTTAATTAAAAAACCATTAAAAACATCAAAATTCCTAAATAATTACATTGAAAGCAAAATAAACAAATAAATAGAAAAAAGCCACATTATTGGCGGGGGGAGAGGGGACTAGCTCAGTATGGGCGAATATCAGAAAAATCCAAATTTGAAGAAAAACCAAAAACAAAAAGTGGCATTGACATTGTTGTTTTTAACGTCGATGTTATTTTACTTCAACCATAAATGAGAGTTTAAAAAAAAACAATTAGTTTACCTCCATGGGCACAAAAATCGCAGTTGTATTTATCCAAAGTTTCAAGTTCAGTTACATACGGCACATCTTCAATGACCTCATCGACCCATTTAATGGAGCGCACCATCTTGTACCGATCCTCTTCCTTCATCACTGGTGGTCCTTTGTGCTTAGCAATCTCAACTTTATTGAATTGATTGATTGATTGACTGAGTTGATTGATTGATGTCAGTGAGAGCAAATTCATAATAATTACAGTATTACAGTATATATGAGGTTTGCCATCCCAAAACCAACAAACTGTCACTAAATGTTACACTGAGTAATTTTTTTAAATTTTTTATTTATTTAATACCATATTTTAAGAGGGTGACCCATCCAGCAATGCTGATCATTAGGGGCCCTCATACAATACAAGAATAAAAACAAGAGTCACTTAATTACACAAATTTATAAAATTCAGATATAAAAGATAATTTGTAAAAATTTGCGAATACATTAATTAACAATTACAGCACGTCCATATTAACTAAGATGACATCAGCGGGGAGGGCAGGAATATCACTGAGTAAATTAAGGAAATGGGTCGTATTCTTTACGTAACTGGGGATAGAGGGCACAGTGGGTTAAATAAGGGAGTCAATAAAACCGGATAGAGATTTATTGAGAGTGCCAATAGAGGATACAATGGGTCTACCCGGGGGTGTGATGTTGTGGGTTTTGACTAAGTCAAACAATCTAGACTTATCGGAAGAGAGATCAACCGAGAGGGAGTATTTGTCAAGTTTAGTTTTAAGTAGTCTGGTAGTTTATGTAATTTAGGAATAGTATAAAATATACCTGATCGAGGATTACTAGGAATTAAACCTTACTAAACATATCAACAGGTTCTTTTTAAAAAAGGTCTGTAGGGTCTTTGTCTAGTTGTTGATAAAACTCGTCGTTGGAGAGCTGACAGTCGTCTTCTGCAATGTAATCATTATGGTAGTGGCACCGCCTTTGTCATTTTTGTCATTTTGCCCATCTAAGAAGCCAAATCTAATTCTACAGTGTTCGGACTTACACAAGTTCACTCGCAGAGTCCAAGTTAAAGAATATTTTAAAGATAAGGATCCCGGCGCTAACAGACATCCTGTGCAGCCATACAAACCACCCTGTCTCTTATACACATCTAGATGTGTATAAGAGACAGTAACATTATTAGTAGTCTTTCTAAGGCATCTGATATTTGTTTTAGCTCTAGATCCAACCAAAGATCTGCCTCGTTTAACATACCTGACTGGAATGATCATGTTGACGATCTTCATGCTATTGCTAACATGGCCTTGCTTGGTGTCATTGGTGCAGTTTAATGTTCAGTTATATGAATTAGCATATATATAATGTTTTTTAATTACATACAAACACAATACTATACAGGTATGGCAAACGGAATTTTGCCAAACATGTTTTTAATGTCGATGTTATTTTGCTTCAACCATAAATGAATGTTTAAAAAAAAAACAATTAATTTACCTCCATGGGCACAAAAATCGCAGTTGTATTTATCCAAAGTTTCAAGTTCAGTTACATACGGCACATCTTCAATGACCTCATCGACCCATTTAATGGAGCGCACCATCTTGTACCGATCCTCTTCCTTCATCACTGGTGGTCCTTTGTGCTTAGCAATCTCAGCTTTATTGAATTGATTGATTGATTGATTGACTGAGTTGATTGATTGATGTCAGTGAGAGCAAATTCATAATAATTACAGTATTACAGTATATACGAGGTTTGCCATCCCAAAACCAACAAACTGTCACTAAATGTTACACTGAGTAATTTTTTTAAATTTTTTTATTTATTTAATACCATATTTCAAGAGGGTGACCCATCCAGCAATGCTGATCATTAGGGGCCCTCATACAATACAAGAATAAAAACAAGAGTCACTTAATTACACAAATTTATAAAATTCAGATATAAAAGTTAATTTGTAAAAATTTGCAAATACACTAATTAAAAACGTTTTAAAAAGATAAACGAGAAAATTACAGAATATACTGTTTAAATTTAAGTTTAAAAATAGCAAAAGTAGTACATAAACGAATAGAATTTGGAATAGAATTATATAAATTTGGACCCTTATAGCTAAAACAGTTTTAAAAAATTTCACAATATGGTGTAGGAATAAAATAATTGCCGTTAGTAATTGCACGTGTTGGGGGACGATTGCTTGACTGTATCTTAGTAAAAGAATGTAGAGTATTGTATACATTAATACAGAGAAGCCATAATTCTTTTACTCATAACTTTAGCAATAGTCACTTAAGGTAGACTCATCATTTTAAAGTTAATTTGCATTTTTTGATCACTGATGCCGGTTTCGGGATAGCAGCCTCACATACATTGTGAAAGGTAATTTATAATTTACATTTTGTTAAACCATTAAGGTATTTTCCAATCAGGATTCAACTACCATATTTATACTTTTAGAGCTATCCGATTTGTGGCTTCATGAATAATTCATTAAAATTTTAAGTAAAGGAATTTTTGATAATCTAATGTGGAGTTGTTACTCTGAAATTTCACACCAAACTTATATACCAATCCAATTTCTTCTTGTTACTATAAGAAAATTTATTCAACCCTATAATTGGCTTCAATCATTCAGTTCACATATGTTGGAAAAACTTTATGATTCTGCATTTTTAATGAGTTATGGATATATTCTGTGGAGTCAATCATCCCCTACTTTTTTATTTATTTTATGCAAAAGAACAGATTTAGATTCAGAATTCATTTGTCCGCACAGAAAATTGTAATGTCACAATCGCTTATGACAAAACAAAAATTTACATTTTATACACAATTATAAATATCAATACTATAATGTATAACAATTAAACAGATCAAAAACAATCAGTCATATACATTAATATAGGCCTACTGTAGATGAGTTAAACATGTACACATGAGTTGAATATAGTCATAACTGTTGAAGTGTGGTTTATGGATAAATTGAATATGATACGCCTATTTGCAGCTTTCATTGTAGCAGTGGCATATCTAGAAGTCTTGAAGTAGGGGATGGATGAGGGGCGCAAAATAACTCGCAAGATATAGTGATTCTTAACTACTTTATCTTGATTTTTGGTGTGGAGGGGCGACTGGGGGTGCGAGTAATTTTTGAAGGGGTGTGCGTCTACCATGTACCTCCTAAATATGCCACTGCACTGTAGGCATGAGTGAAGAAAGGGACAAACAATTTGAAATGCTGATTTACTATGTTTATTGCACGTAAGATGCCTGCCTGACTTCTGCCAGTTATAATTTCAATCTAGCTAGGAACTACCTCAGTTTTGTCCATTTTCTTGAATGATTTTGTTATTTTGTGTATGCTTTTGAATTTTACTATATATTCATATATTGCAGGTGTTAAGGCATTCTGTAATGGGCAATATTGCTTTCGGATGTAGTTGAAATGAAATTTAAAAAAAGTAAAGCAACCAGAATATAGACTTAAAATAATTGCACAAACTTACCGTCTGAATGAATGCCTACCACAAGTACATCACCAAGTTTCTTTGCCTGCCGCAGGAAATTAGCATGCCCAAAATGCACCATATCAAAACTGAAAAAAATAATTATAGACGCTTGTATTACAGGACCTCAGACGTGTTACATCACATGTAAGTACAGTGTGTACAAAGTATGCGAAAATAGAAACATGAAACAAAATTTTTTAAAGCCTTATCCAAGTGCTTAAATTAATCCATTTATTTACTACTTATCGATTGGATTGGATTGGATTTATTCGGTGTAACCACCAAGGATAGGCCAAGGAAGTCTAGAAGAAGACTTATTTCCAGTGGGGTCCTTCTGGTGGTGTTTGGACCGTACACTGGGAGACAATCCCTACTCTTTTCCAAAGAGTGTACTGCGTTCTTTAACGTGCACATGGGCCATAAATGCACACGGGCCAACGGCTTAAATGTCTCATTTGAAAGACGGTGCGCTATTGTAACTTGTATTTCAGCCCTCTAGCTGAAACACAAGGAGAGGCAGCGATGGGAATTGAACCGGGGACCTAGAGATCTCCACGGTTCAGCGCACACACAGTGGCTACCACCAGATTAGTCGACTGAACTAAGCTGCTCTCTCATATATACTTGCGTATAAGAGAGGCTTCAAAATAGCAAATCATGATCGGAAAACAGGGGGTGGGGTCATCTTATATACACTTACTTAAAAGTATCTCGTTCTGAGCCACTCTAGGCCGCGATACGAACAAGTGATGACCTCATCGTGTAGCCTACCAGATTGGAAGGAGAAAGGAGACATCAGCGTTTAGGTCTAGATAGGATAGGCATAGGCAGTACATGCATATGGTCACCAGACTGTAAAAGAAAAGCCTGCGCGGGAACATCTTCGGTGCAAAAATTATACCTAGAAATCCGTCGCAAGCATTTCGGCGCTAGAGCTAATTAATACACTTCCTTAGGCCCCTAGCCCTAGCCTATTTAACCCAGGCAGGAGCCTAGCATAGGCTGGCTAGTTCGCCTAGGCCTAGTTCTCCACCCTTTTTAGTTAGGCTAAGGCATAGGCCTAGTATTATATAGAAGCCTAGTGAATTATATTATTATTAGCACCGGGTAGCCCAGGCCTAGCTTACCTAGAGGCTAGGCCCGTAGCCTAGCTACTAATAATAAAGGTCAACGTAGAGAAGCCTGGGCCTAGCTAGCCTAGACAAGGCCGTCGCCTGCCTAGGCCTAGCCTACTAGGCCTTCCTTATTAGGCTAGAAGCGACCTAGGCCTAGCCCAGCTAGGCTAGGTTACAGCTTAGGTTGGGCACTAACTGGGCCTAGCTAGCTAGGAAAATTGATACTGAAACACTAACTAACCATCCATCCACCCAAACACGAACAGGCTTCTTATCTGCCATATTGTTTCGATTGTTCTGTCATTCGTGTTGATCAGAAAACACTAAAAATTACCCTGGCCAAGAAACGACAGGAACGCCACGCCTTCTCTCAACAAATATTTACTACTATGGAACGCCGGGAGTGACTTCAGTGAGTTTTTACAGGAGGGAAAACGTCATTCAACAGTGACAGTGACCGAATTTATGCAACAGTGACCAAGGAAGGGACAACATTTATGCTGCTGTGACATTTTTGCAGCAGTTATCTTTTAATCCGGCAGCGTATTTTTTTATTTTATTTTGTACACGATAGCCTAGGGAATTTGCACAAACGAAAAAGCCTATAATAATAGCATGATGTCATCTTTAGTAAATATTTAAAGTATTTGAACGTGCGCCTTTGTATCGGCAGCACCCATATACACCAGTGACATGTAATATTTATTCATCTAATTACATGACTCAGTTAATTTAGAAAAGCCAAAAACTGAATGCAGTATACATGCTACCAGGCTCCTATTATGAATTGTAACCTGTATTAACTGTATTTTTATCACAAACATAATGAACAATGCTTAGCATTGGCCAGAAACAAGTTCACATTATTTGTGGGATTGTAATATTACTACTAGATTTTGGCATGATGTAAAAAGTATTATTTGCAAAATCAGTTAGTTTTACTGTATTTTTACAAGATATTTATCTTGGATATTAATGATGTTGGCAGTAAGCATTTCAATTATCAATAATTTTTAAAAAGAACCAATTTTTAAAAATTAGTCGGGTTTTTTTTTCTTTATTTAAAAATGATATTAGGATTATTTATTTTGTATTTTCAGACATTTTCTGCCAGATTGGCCTTAATATGTATATTATATTGTGTATTTATGGATGCTCTTTGAGATATTACCCATAGTTTCTTGTATCGCTTATGGTAATAAAGACAACTGATGTCTTGTATCATATTTAAAGACTAAAGTTACACATCTTTAAACAAACAATATACCGGTACATTTTTAATAAAAACTCTATTTTTGTTGGTTTGTTAAAGAATTAGGTATGCAATCTAGCATTTAAAGTCAAACAAATTGCAAACAAAGGTTTTCTTTCATAATCATAATATACATAATGAGGAGATGAAATTCCAGAAATCACACCTCGGTCACATTTTGGAAACATATGCAACATAGCTAAAATATGCAAAATATGGTGAAAATATAGGGTCCTTAGTCGCAGAGAGTTGCACTTTGTTCCAAATTAATCAGAACATGCATGTTTCTATTTACTCTAATAAAACATTTGCCTTAAAAATTAACGGAAATGCTACATTTGACCTCTGACCTTATATTCACTGAATTTGTATATCTGCGTGACTAATATACATAAAAACCTATTTTAGGTCTTAAATTGTTCAAATGCATGTTTCTTTGCATTATAATAATAGAAGGGATAAACATTTATAATCACACCATGGTCACATGTACTGTTTTATTTTATTCCTTTCAGCCAGTACAACAACAAAATCATTAAAAAAAAAATTAAAAAAAGAGGAGGGCTGAGGAGTGGCAAAAGCGGTATAAAGCTACTATCACCGGATATTGTGTGCCCCTCCGTCTTCATATGCATATTAGCTGTTAATTATGAAAATTAAAAATGAAAATATAGGGATCCCATATCATAATGTACTCCTCTCCTCTCTTTCTCTACCTCCACAAACATGTCGAAAAACGTATTTTATTACTAGCATAAAGTCAAAGTTTAACATTTCAAAGTTTTATTTCACAAACGTATTCAACTGCATCTGGGTCGCAGTCGGCAGACACTAGTTGATTCTCCAGGTCCAGATAAACACAATCACGTGGACTGACAGTTTCATCAGTTACAGAATATTCTTTAATATCGACCATACTTCCATTGCTATAATAGTAGGTCGATCCGACATAGTTCCAATCCTGTCTCTTATACACATCTAGATGTGTATAAGAGACAGACATGCATATGGTCACCAGACTGTAAAAGAAAAGCCTGCGCGGGAACATCTTCGGTGCAAAAATTATACCTAGAAATCCGTCGCAAGCATTTCGGCGCTAGAGCTAATTAATACACTTCCTTAGGCCCCTAACCCTAGCCTATTTAACCCAGGCAGGAGCCTAGCATAGGCTGGCTAGTTCGCCTAGGCCTAGTTCTCCACCCTTTTTAGTTAGGCTAAGGCATAGGCCTAGTATTATATAGAAGCCTAGTGAATTATATTATTATTAGCACCGGGTCTGTCTCTTATACACATCTAGATGTGTATAAGAGACAGGCTAAAACAGTTTTAAAAAATTTCACAATATGGTGTAGGAATAAAATAATTGCCGTTAGTAATTGCACGTGTTGGGGGACGATTGCTTGACTGTATCTTAGTAAAAGAATGTAGAGTATTGTATACATTAATACAGAGAAGCCATAATTCTTTTACTCATAACTTTAGCAATAGTCACTTAAGGTAGACTCATCATTTTAAAGTTAATTTGCATTTTTTGATCACTGATGCCGGTTTCGGGATAGCAGCCTCACATACATTGTGAAAGGTAATTTATAATTTACATTTTGTTAAACCATTAAGGTATTTTCCAATCAGGATTCAACTACCATATTTATACTTTTAGAGCTATCCGATTTGTGGCTTCATGAATAATTCATTAAAATTTTAAGTAAAGGAATTTTTGATAATCTAATGTGGAGTTGTTACTCTGAAATTTCACACCAAACTTATATACCAATCCAATTTCTTCTTGTTACTATAAGAAAATTTATTCAACCCTATAATTGGCTTCAATCATTCAGTTCACATATGTTGGAAAAACTTTATGATTCTGCATTTTTAATGAGTTATGGATATATTCTGTGGAGTCAATCATCCCCTACTTTTTTATTTATTTTATGCAAAAGAACAGATTTAGATTCAGAATTCATTTGTCCGCACAGAAAATTGTAATGTCACAATCGCTTATGACAAAACAAAAATTTACATTTTATACACAATTATAAATATCAATACTATAATGTATAACAATTAAACAGATCAAAAACAATCAGTCATATACATTAATATAGGCCTACTGTAGATGAGTTAAACATGTACACATGAGTTGAATATAGTCATAACTGTTGAAGTGTGGTTTATGGATAAATTGAATATGATACGCCTATTTGCAGCTTTCATTGTAGCAGTGGCATATCTAGAAGTCTTGAAGTAGGGGATGGATGAGGGGCGCAAAATAACTCGCAAGATATAGTGATTCTTAACTACTTTATCTTGATTTTTGGTGTGGAGGGGCGACTGGGGGTGCGAGTAATTTTTGAAGGGGTGTGCGTCTACCATGTACCTCCTAAATATGCCACTGCACAGATGTGTATAAGAGACAGCATACAAACACAATACTATACAGGTATGGCAAACGGAATTTTGCCACTGTATTTTTATCACAAACATAATGAACAATGCTTAGCATTGGTCAGAAACAATTTTCACATCATTTTGTGGGATTGTAATGTTACTACTAGATTTTGGCATGATGTGAAGTAAGTCAATCTATCGTTACTGGTAATTAAAAGTATTATTTGCAAAATCAGTTAGTTTTACTGTATTTTTACAAGATATTTATCTTGGATATTAATGATGTTGGCAGTAAGCATTTCAATTATCAATAATTTTTAAAAAGAACCAATTTTTAAAAATTAGTCGGGTTTTTTTTCTTTATTTAAAAAATGATATTAGGATTATTTATTTTGTATTTTCAGACATTTTCTGCCAGATTGGCCTTAATATGTATATTATATTGTGTATTTATGGATGCTCTTTGAGATATTACCCATAGTCTCTTGTATTGCTTATGGTAATAAAGACAACTGACATCTTGTATCATATTTAAAGACTAAAGTTACACATCGTTAAACAAACAACATACCGGTACATTTTTAATAAAAACTCTATTTTTGTTGGTTTGTTAAAGAATTAGGTATGCAATCTAGCATTTAAAGTCAAACAAATCGCAAACAAAGGTTTTTCTTTTATAATCATAATATACATAATGAGGAGATGAAATTCCAGAAATCACACCTCGGTCACATTTTGGAAACATATGCAACATAGCTAAAATATGCAAAATATGGTGAAAATATGGTGAAAATATGGTGAAAATATAGGGTCCTTAGTCGCAGAGAGTTGCACTTTGTTCCAAATTAATCAGAACATGCATGTTTCTATTTACTCTAATAAAACATTTGCCTCAAAAATGAACGGAAATGCTACATTTGACCTCCGACCTTATATTCACTGAATTTGTATATCTGCGTGACTAATATACATAAAAACCTATTTTAGGTCTTAAGTTGTTCAAATGCATGTTTCTTTGCATTATAATAATAGAAGGGATAAACATGTATAATCACACCATGGTCACATGTACTGTTTTATTTTATTCCTTTCAGCCAGTAAAACAACAAAATCATTAAAAAAAAAAATTTTTTAAAAGAGGAGGGCTGAGGAGTGGCAAAAGCGGTATAAAGCTACTATCACCGGATATTGTGTGCCCCTCCGTCTTCATATGCATATTAGCTGTTAATTATGAAAATTAAAAATGAAAATATAGGGATCCCATATCATAATGTACTCCTCTAATCTCTTTCTCTACCTCCACAAACATGTCGAAAAACGTATTTTATTACTAGCATAATGTCAAAGTTTAACATTTCAAAGTTTTATTTCACAAACGTATCCAACTACATTTGTGCCGCAGTCGGCAGACACTAGTTGTTCCCGCAGGTCCAGATAAACACAATCACGTGGACTGACAGTTTCATCAGTTACAGAATATTCTTTAATATCGACCATACTTCCATTGCTGTAATAGTAGGTCGATCCGACATAGTTCCAATCCAAGTAGACAAAGGTTATCCAAATATTAAAATGATATAGTATGGCAAAGTCATTCGGAGATGTCACGGAAATGTATGATGCAACCTTTGTGCCAATGGTGTACTTCTCGCACATCTTACTGCCTGGAATTTTATTATGAGTCGTAGGGCCTCCGATTACCTTGATGCATCGGTTTTCAGGAATGGTGTACCAGGTAGATGGACAACTACTGTC